GACAATCAAGAAGGCCATAAACGAGCCCTACAATAATTGTAGGGACGACTGACGATACGGGCCTAAGACTCACCCGTCGTTTGAATTCTCCATACCAACGGGAAATTGTCGACTGATGTGGCGCTTCGTTTCCGAGAACAGACAGTAACTCAGCAAGGCATTCTTGCTGCGATAATTGTCTCTGAAAGTTGTAATAAGTTACGCGTGAAAATGTTCTCGTTTGAGTTCCATTTTTCTAATGACTTGGTGACACTTAAAAATTCACTGTATTTTTGTGAAACTTTGAATTTAAGTTTACTAAAGAGTGAGGTTAAGATTCAGTACTGACGATCGATCCACGCAGCCTACTATGTTTCTATATGCAAAACTTAAAAGACATCCCTCGTACATATACTGTAGGTGTTCACATGATTTTTATTATATCGTAAGTTCCCTGAATACGTTGAAAACGACTTAGTTTTCGTAATATTGTGCAGGCATTCGTACTCACTGGGGCTAAGCAGGCTTAGGCCGCTTTACGGTTTTTTCCCGCAAACGGTAAACCACCAAACAAACGATTTTCACAGTTTGAAGATGGATTTCAAGAGAGCTGTATGTGTTGTTGCTCTAATACTAAGAAGCAGAAAAAAGAAAACGTTATCAAAAATTTCGCAAATATTGGGTCCATCCACTGACTAGCCGAAGATTTAAGAAAGGTCCCTTTCATAAAAAGTATCAAGATCTAAGAAAACATCGTGAGAAATTGTTCAACTACTATCGGAACGGAATGTTATGTGCTTTAAGCTTTAACGACATTCCATCCTAACACTTTTGACACTGTGTTGCTAGATGTACGATTTCTGGAGAAAGGTAAATACACAGACAATTCTTCTTCTCCCGTTCTTCAATTTTCAGTAGTCGGTAACCCCCCGTCCCCGTTTTTCCATCGTCGTCACACGATCACAAGAGGATTCGCTCCCAGAAGTCCCCCCCACCTCAAAATGTCCCACTGGATCCGCCTCCTGTTAATGAACTTATATTTTCGTTCAGATTACAGGTGTCTAGCAACCCCAAATTTTCAATGGCCGGTAGCTGGTACGAAAATCGTCTAGAGTCAAGTAGTTCTACGGAATTTAAGTATCTTTGATTTGCATTGAACTCCGGACAGACAATGGTGCTCATCAAAAGTTTGTTCAGGCCTTTCTATGAACTTTTACGCTTTTTTTGAGAGCAAGATCATACCTCTTGTTACATTACTTCTGTGGTTAATTAACCACGTATGACATTGAAAAAAGGAAAAAAATAGCCTAAAGAGCAAGGAAGTACCTCTAAGACAGAGTTCCCCAAACTTTTTTGTGTCGTAGACCCCTTGCCATGTTTTTCCGTGTTGGGTAGACCCTCTACTTATCTGATATTGATTTCCTGTAAATTTCTAACTGTAGTGAAGTTTAGTGTTAAAACTTAAAGTAAAAACACATGTTAATTTATACATTTATTAACTGAATTTAAATTAAAACTACTCAAAATGAAATTTTGTATCTGTTATGTAAAATATACGTAACATTAAATAAACAGGTGTCTGACCAATAAGTACCCGCATTGGGAATAAGTGCCCGCATTAACGAATTTTAGTGTGTACCTATCCTTGAATTTTCAGAATAATTTTTAAAAAAAAATATTTTCTATAAAGGGGGCTTCTTTAAAAAAATCAATGCGGGCACTTATTCCCAATGCGGGCATTTATTGGTCAGACACCAATAAACATAAAATAAACTATAAATAAAATAGCATAAGCAATAAGTCAATATTTTTAGTGAGAAGGATGAACCTGATGCTTTAATTATAAATTATCAACATTTGGCGTCAATTTTGTAAGGGTTAATCTTAAATCTCCATCGGCTAATGATGTCCAGTCTGTTTCTTTTTTTTGTTAGGAGATTGGTAACCGCGCTGAACCTACTTTCCACTAGGTATGACGATGGAAAGAAAATTAAAAATATCCTCGCTATATTCCATAATACGGGATAAGTAACGGGTATGTGGTTTTGCAGCCAGAATTGCTGATATCCGTTTTTAAACTGAACCTTAAGTTCTTCGTTTGTACTTAGTTCAGTCAGTTCCTCTTGTATTATGGCATTCGTTTCTTCTATGTCACCATATGGATTAATTATCCACGGTGGTATTACCATAGTCAAAATATCCTCAAACCTAGATTCAAAATCTGAATAGAGGGCATTTAAATGTTGATCGTAAGTTGAAACGTTGTCTTCCTGGCAGCTTGTCTGTGACAAATTGGGGAACTGAGAAAATTCGCCCCGTCCAATATTTTGCTTCATTAGTTTAACTCTGGCAAGAAACGCTGATAAGATGGTCTTTGTTTTAATCAAATTTAAACTGTCGCCTTGTAATTGCAAATTAACCATATTAAATTTTGTAAACAAATCTGTTAAATAGGCGATGTCTGTTTTCCTCTTCATTAAATTTTCTTTTAAAATTTTATCTATAGTATCCAGAAATTCTAAAATAGTCTCAAAAAATGCAAAAAATCTTGTCAAACATAAGCCTTTCGACAGCCAGCGTACTTCAGTGTAAAGGAGTAATTGATGAAAGTGTTCGTCATTTTCTTCACACAACTGCGCAAATAACCGCGTATTCAACGCGTTGCTTCGGATTCGGTTTACTGCATCAATGACTAAATGAAGTGATTCATGCAATTTAACACTCAAATTTTTATATATATATTGCTAACACCCCGGACACATTTTGTTTTAAATAGCTTATAAATCCACGATAACGTCCAACCATGGCAGGTGCTCCATCTGTAGCTACTGATATTATATTTGATAAAGGAATTGCTTTTTCAATGAAGTAATCCTTCAAAACATGAAATATTGATTCACCTTTAGTGTCGGTTATCAAAATTCTTGCGAAGAGCAGTTCTTCGTAGATTTCTTGATTCATAATAAAACGAACATATGCCAATAATAATGCTGCATTATCAGGTAACATTGACTCGTCCAGTTGAATAGAGAAATGGGTCGTTTGCAAATAATTACATAAGAAGCTTTCAATATCAGAACTCATTTCATCAATACGTCTTTCCACAGTACTGTTGCTTAAGGGAATTCTTTTAATGATATCAGATGCAGGTTTGTGTAAAACAGTTTTTAAAACCTCTTCAACGGCTGGCAAAATTAACCTCTCTCCGATAGTATGCGGTTTTCCGGATTTTGCTATAAGTAACGAGATATTGTAAGACGCCCGCAAACCATCATCATTTCTTTGTGACGTCGAAGCGAACATTCTGTCCAGTGTAGGTCTCTTCTGAAATTTATCTTTGAGTGTTTGAAAGTATTTCAAATCTTTCTCTGTTTTATCAGGGTGGCATCTTCTCAGATGATCTTGCAGTTTAGATGGTTTCATAGCGTCATTGCCCAAAACTTTGTTACATAAAAGGCACATAGGCGATTGTTTGTCCGGCAATGATGGAATGAAGCCAAATTTCAAATAATCAACACTGTACTGTCTACATTTCTTTTTAGATTCGGACATGGCATCAGTCATCTGTGGGCAAAATTAAATTATTTAAATAAGACAGAAAATCCAGCAGCTGTATATTAAAAATATTTTTTGATTTTTCCGAAAACATTCCATAATTCGAACATCTTCTTGCAACAATTAGCTCGAATTACGGGGATTGCACTGTAATTATATTACCGATTGCTAAAACTTTCAAAAAGAAACTACGTATATTGAGGAGTACTCGTGTAATTTTGCATGATTGAATATTTAACTACTAATAACTAAAGTCATGATTGGCGTAATTTATATATCTTTGCTAACTACGAGTACAAAACTATAATTTAATAAAAAATAATGTACTTACTCTTCTCCAGTACTCTCAAAGAAAATAACACTGACTCACTATAATTTGTGTGATATACTATCTGTTTATATTTTTTAAATTACTTTCTTGTAGAGTGACGAATTGAACAAGACAGTGCAAGGTAGCGAAGCTCTGAGACTGCGACTCTCAGGTTTTTCAAGTTCAAAATGTATTGCGATCACAAAGCGAATACCAACATCCTACAACTTACACAATTTTATAAACATATATAATAAATTTTTTACTTCATAGGTACTTTTATAAATAATGTATATGTTTTGATATTATAAGATAGTATGATGTAAGTAAATAGGTACTATCAGTGTATGTGTTGAGATCCACTATCGTGGACCCCCATATTCATTTCATGGACCCCCAAATTTTTTTTCGCTGACGTAGACCCCTTGCAGGTTGTCATAGACCCCTAGGGGTCGATATAGACCACTTTGGGAATCAATACTCTAAGACATAGTTTCTTTCACCAGAAGAAATAAATCAGAGGGGTTAGGACCTCTATACCTTCTGGAAAAACAGTTAAAACTGTCGGGGGAAGTCAAATACCTAGGGGTAATACTAGACTCCAAACTAACCTGGAACCCGCAGATCAAACGCTCTCATGGCAAAACATGAGGATTAAGCCCTTCTATGAGTTGCAGTGGACGTTCATAATATTCGTAATGCCCATGATGGCTTACGCATTTCTGGTTCTTCATGACGGTGTTCCGAAGAATTACAGTACCGCGCGCGGTTGTCGCGCCGTTCTATGAACTACAAATTTTGGCGCGGTTTTTTTCCGCTACCCATTCTGTAAAAAGTCGCGGTTTTTAAATCAGTCGCGGGAAAAACCCGTCAGTGCGGCCACTTCCATCAGTTTACTTTACCCACAAAATCAGGCGGTTAAAATCCGCGGCGTTTTAGCCGTAGTGCGGCCTAAGCTTTAGGCACCAAACTAAAATAGAAAGTATTTCTGAGCTTTGCGCTCATTGGAACATTTGATTAACACATCATGAACTATCACTATATGAATTTTCCTTAAAATCTGCCGGTTGTCAAATTCCATATGTTTTGTCATGTAAACGTATACCTTAATCGTTCACAAGATCTCAGTGGTGCGAACGAATTTATTAAAACTTACCTCTGCAACAGCCGGACTACTCTTGTCACTATTATTAACATCCGATCCACAAGCTTGAGCGTCAATTTTAGATGCACCAACGTTCGTGCTCAAACCCTTTTCAACGCCTACTTGATATAGGGCAGTATGGTTTACCATGCTTACTATGGCCACATGGAGGTTGACCTTGAGACCATAGATAATGCCTAAACCTACGCATCCCAGTACTGCTAGGATGTACCTTGTTGGTATTCGGCCTAAAACGTGGGAAAATGTGAACTGGATTATTGTTTATTCATAGTATCCTAAAATTTCGCGTGGCCTTAATGGTCAAGGTCACATTTGATTATTGTTTATTCATAGTATCCTAAAATGATATCATTATTTCTCGGATGCATATACAGGGTATCCCATTTTGATCTCACCGTCTAAATACTTAGAAAACTACGCATCATAGCAAAAATATATTCAAACAAAACTGGATAGTGGGAATCCGTCCCTCAAGGTCAAACGAATATTTTCAATGTGTTCCTCCCCTCTTTTTTACACCGGAATTGGAAAGACCACGACCTTCATGGCCATTTTAAGCATTTGCTGATGCAAAAAGTTCCGACAGCTTAGTTGTAAGCTTTGCCGGGACACTCAAAAGTGACATTGACCATGACTCTCAAGGAAAAGTCAGGATTTCTAAAGAAAACCCCTATTTTTTATCCTGTAATTGAAAAGAGCAGGAAATGTCATGTCCGAATGTAACCTTGACCTCAAAGCCAAAGTCATCTCAATATGTAATGGTATTTGTAAGACAACCCATTGATTTTTAAGCAAAAATTACAGAAAGCAAGAAATTTTGTATTTAAACATGTAAAATTTCGCGTGGCCTTAATGGTCAAGGTCACCTTTGATTATTGTTTATTCATAGTATCCTAAAATAATATCGTTATTTCTCGGATGCATATACAGGGTATCCCATTTTGATCTCACCGTCTAAATACTTAGAAAACTACGCATCATAGCAAAAATATATTCAAACAAAACTGGATAGTAGGAATCCGTCCCTCAAGGTCAAACGAATATTTTCAATTTGTTCCTCCCCTATTTTTTACACCGGAATTGGAAAGGCCACGACCTTCATGGCCATTTTAAGCATTTGCTGTAGCAAAAACTTCCGACAGCTTAGTTGTAAGCTTTGCGGGGACACTCAAAAGTGACATTGACCATGACTCTCAAGGTAAAGTCAGGATTTCTAAAGAAAACCCCTATTTTTTATCCTGTAATTGAAAGGAGCAGGAAATGTCATGTCCGAATGTAACATCGACCTCAAAGCCAAAGTCATCTCAATATGTAATGTTATTTGTAAGACAACCCATTGATTTTTAAGCCAAAATTACAGAAAGCAAGAAATTTTGTATTTAAACATGTAAAATTTCGCGTGGCCTTAATGGTCAAGGTCACCTTTGGGTGAGTCCCGCAAAGCTCGCAACTATGCTGTCGAGTGTTTTTGCTAAAGCAAATTGTTTTCAATGTCTTGATTTGGCCTTGAATCTTATGTCCTGATGTGACCTTGATCTCAAGGCCAAGGTCATCTCAATATCTAATCTTATATTTGTAAGGCAACCCCTTGATTTTTATGCCAAAATTACATAAAGCAAGAAATTTTGTATTTAAACGTGTGAATTTTCACACGACCTTGAAGGTGATGTTCAAGGTCACCTTGGGGTGATTCCCGCAAAGCTTTCGAATATTTTTTCTAGAGCACATTGTTTTCAATGTCTTGATTTGAACTTGAAATGGCCTTGAATATCATGGTCATTCAAGGTAATATTGGGACGTAAAATTTCATCCATTTTCCAATTCCGATTAAAAAAGGTGAACTTCCATTTGAAACTGTTCGCTTAGCATGACATGACCCTGAGGTCAACGACATGTTCAAAGTCACCATCATTTTATCCTCTCGATACCCTTCAACTTTGTTTGAAACTTTTTTCTAGAATGCGAAGTTTTCAAAATGCTTAGGTTGGGGAGTTAAAAGTGGACACCCTAGAGAATAGTAGAATGCAAAAAAGTTACTAAAAAAGCCATACTAATCTCCCTTACTGGAAATAGGTTATTCTTAAATAATTTACAAATGACTGTGTAGTTTTCCTGTCAATTTTGGTACCTACTAAATTTATATTATGAAAATATAGTAACACTGATAATATTATTATAAAACTTGAAACGATCTTAAAGTCTTTGATGGTCATATACGATATCAACAATAAAAACGAAAATGGAATGACTCTTAGATTGTTCTTTGATTTAGAATGCTTGTTTAGCTGTTAAAACACGTTCCAATTTAAATAAAATACCCTAACAACGCTGTAAGGTCCAATTACACTGATCAACAGCCAAAAAATATCCTAAATAAAATCAACAAAATATTACTATTTTTAATGTGCTAAAACCGGAATGAAACTTATTTTTTCAATATTAGTTCGCGTTTTAGAGATACGGTAATTATATGTGTTCCTGCTGTGACAGTGTTAATATACTGTAATTCACAAGAATGCACGTGCTACATTTTTATATTCGGCAAGGAAAGATGATGTAATCGGCATGATTGTGTTACGTTATACATACGTGTACATTATATTGTTTTATATTAGCCATTTTTTCCTCAGTTGGCTGACAGCGTTCATGCAAGATGTTTCGAAAGTGTGTAAACAATCCAAATCAGTTTTGTTACGTGTGTGGTGATGTGACTTTTGCGTCTCAGAGACGGTCTATTAATCCACTAATAACAAAGGCATATCAGCTTTATTTCGGTTGTAAACTAGGTGATCAAGACAAACAGTGGGCACCCCACATCTGCTGTAATACATGTGCTTCAAGTGTGAGGAGCTGGTTAAATGGCAAAAAACGGTCTATGCGCTTTGCTGTCCCAATGGTTTGGAGAGAGCCTACAAATCATATTAATGATTGTTACTTTTGCATGGTACCTTGTGTTGGACAAGCCACAGGTATGTCCAAGATAAAAAAATCGGTTATTAACTACCCAAACATACCATCTGCGATGAGACCTGTGCCTCACTGTGACGAAAATCCTATTCCAAAACCCCCAGAATCCTACACTTGCGAATCAGAAAACGAATCAGATCATGGCGATCGAGTGATTCGTCAGGAAGAAGATATGCCATCAACGTCAAGAGATCCTGATTTTATACCGAGCACGTCATACCACCAACCGCACAAAATAACACAGTCAGAATTAAATGATCTTGTAAGAGATTTAGAACTTCCAAAATGTAAGGCAGAGTTACTTGGATCAAGACTGCAGCAGTGGAACTTGTGAGAAGACGATGTTTCGGTATGTGTTTTTCGTAAACGCCACAAAGACTTAGAACCATTTTTCAATATGGAGAATAACTTGGTTTTCTGCAGTAACATTAACGGCTTACTGGCGGCTTTAAATATAAACTATAACCCAGAAGAATGGAGATTGTTTATAGACAGTTCAACATTGAGTTTAAAGGCAGTGTTATTGCATATTGGAAATATTTTACCATCTCTTCCTGTGGGGTATGCAGTTCACATGAAAGAATCATATGACAATATGAAGTACCTATTGACATGCATAAAATACGATGAGCACCAATGGCATATTTGTGGCGATTTGAAAGTTGTTGCACTTTTACTTGGGCTGCAGCTAGGCTACACAAAGGTTTGCTGTTTTTTGTGTGAATGGGACAGTCGGGCAAAGGCACTTCATTACACCAGACAAAACTGGCCTGTTCGTCAATTCCTAGAGCCAGGTCAAAAAAATGTACAGCATATGCCATTAGTAGATTCGAAAAAAATTTTATTACCACCACTGCATATCAAGTTGGGCCTAATGAAAAACTTTGTCAAGGCATTAGATAGAGATGGGTCAGCTTTGCAATACCTGCGTCAGAAATTTCCAAGACTAAGTGAGGCAAAGGTTAAAGAAGGTATTTTTGTTGGGCCACAGATTCGAAATATTTTGAAAGATACACAGCTTGAAAACACTTTAACAGGTATTGAAAAAACTGCTTGGAATGATTTCCGTCTGGTGGTCACTAATTTCTTGGGAAATAGAAAAGCTGACAACTATAAAACCCTTGTCAAAAATACGCTGTAAGATACATTTCCTACACTCACACCTGGACTTTTTTCCTGTCAATTGCGGAGCCGTAAGTGATGAGCACGGCGAACGTTTTCATCAGGATATTTCAACACTGGAAAAAAGGTACCAGGGAAAGTGGAATCCTTCCATGCTTGCAGACTACTGTTGGACTCTTGGTAGAGATGCTCCATAAAAGAACAGCAAAATGACAGCGCATATAGTGATCCTTATAAGTATATGAATCTTGTTACTTTTTTTAATATATCCTTAAAAATAAAAAGTTTTTTTTCTAAACCGCAACTAATTTTTTTATTTCATTGTCATTTTTGGATTCAGCGCTCCAAAATTAACAAAGAAGTGCACTTTTCCCACAAGATACAATTAAAAAACTAAAATTTGTTGTCCAGTGTTATTTTATTTTTATGCTTTGTGATTTGGATAATGTATTAATTCTTCAGGGGGAATGCAGAAATCAATTTTGATAATCAATGTATAAGTATTGCGTTTAAAAAATAAGCGAACATCAATTTTTGCTATAAATGTCACTCAAATCAAATTTTTATTTACTGAATAATCAATCAAAATGTCGTAAACTTGCACACGCTTGAAATATGGTGACGTTACATCTTACACAAATTTTTTTACTCAAATGATATCTTCAACTCATAAATTATACTGAATGTGTATAAGCTAGAAATCTTTGAAGATAATTTATTTCAAAAGTCAAGGTATAATAAAACACTCCGAGAACATAAAAACTTGTGTGACTTAGTTATCTATGAGCCTAATAAATGAAATATATAGGTACTGGGAGTTCTGAAACAACATGCAAAAGTCTTATTCGAAAAGGTCCCCTTTTAACGAATAGTCATGTTTCGAGGTCCAAAATGGCCTTAACATTTTTTTTAACAATTTACAAAAATTAATTTTTCGCTCCAGTCAAGGTAATTTAGGTTTTTCATGACATTCTGATCAAAAGGTGCCTTAGAAATTTTCTCTAGAGCTATAACTTTGGAGATATAAGCGACACATTGATTTAAAAAGTGCGAAATATGTCATTTTCTTCAGTACAATGACAATATATTGCAGATTGCGCCATTTTGTCGCCACTCCTCGGAAACTGTCAACTTTATAGGAAAGTTCATAGGAGTTCATATAAACACCCGAAAACTTTGCCCAGCGCGAAAAAAAACAAGCAATTTTCGGAATTTGTTTAAAAAATCTTTGAACAATAGTTGACGTAATGTGGAACTGGCAATATACGGTTTCGTTAAAAAACGTCACTCTTTTAAATAAGATTATGTGAAAAATCCTAATCGGAATATATGTAATTCCCAGCAGATGTAAAGATACTACTTACTTGGTGCAAAATGTAATGAAAAGTCTATCTTACCTCCATACAGATTCCCACGTGCTTTCGCTTCTTCTGCCATTGATAAACACTGAAAAATAAGTTTCAAATTAAACGTTCATCATTTATCATTATATTACCAATAGATGAGCGGAATTGAGTAACTAATGCAGAATTGCATATTTTTTTGTTTTGGTAAATACGAGATCTTTAATATCATATTTGACTTACCAGTGTTTGAAATGGTTTAGACTTTAGACTATACGTAATTATTTTATTTCGAGATACCTAGTGTAGATGCATTTGAAATACTTAAAATTGTAACTGCTATTAAAAACAGTATTCTTTTGTGGCTTGGAAAATGCACTTAGATCTAAAATTAAACTTTGAATCCACAAACCAACATATAAAAAATGAAACCAAGTGGAGACAAAAACATATTCCTAATTGTTTTTCATGGAACATATCTGTGGGAAATTAAATTTAATTCTTTTCTGACTTTTATTGAAACCATATGTTATTCTGGACTCCAGCCAATATACATAAAGAACTGGTACTTACATATGTTATGAGTATATGTATTTCAAGAATTTAACTGTTGTGGTTTGAAGGCAATAAACATTACTAACCACCATGTAGATTTTACATATCCATTAGCTAAGGTATTATTTATTCAATTATTTTTCGATAAAAATAGCACTATTGCAGAAGAGATACAAAACACCCCTCCTCAAATACCAAAAAATTAGTAGTAGTAGTTTCTTACAAGTTTTGAGAAGCTATTATAATATTTTTGTAGAAGGCTAAAAGTTAAGTTTTTTTAATCATTACACATTTCATAGTTCAAGTATTTTAGTAGTCTTTTTTGTATATTCATGTAAATACTCTATATAAGGTGGCCTAGGATTTCTTATTCCTATGACTTGTTTCGACCATCGAGAAGTGGCATCTTTAATTCAAGACATACCTACGTGGAGGTATTTAGTTTTTGGAAGACATTTCATTTTCTTGAAGGTCCAAATATTTTTTGAATAATTTGTTCAAATATAAGATATCTATACTATATCACGAAAATCCTTATCATTAGTATCTCTAATTTATGTAAGTTCTCTGAGGTAATTTAGTAGTCGGTTATTCTATAAAAAATTAAATTGCCGCGATACATAAAGCAGTTATTTAACGGTGAGAAAATGGTATTTCTATAAGCCTCCAATTTCACACTGCTGTTTTAACTCGAAATTTCTTGCTTAAACCCCTTATTTATTATCTAATACAATGAGCGCAACATATAACATATTGCACTACGTTATACATACCTCACTGTGCGAAAAGTGTAGCTACGATCTAAACTCGAAAATAGCTCAAGTTTATCTCATCAAACACCCATTCAACTAAAAAATGCGACCGAAAAAGTTTCTGGTTTCGGAGCGCGAATGGTTTCGATAAGCTTTCCAGCGGAGGACGCCGGTAAGTGGAGTCTACTGAAAAGCTGGAAATAACATTTTGAAGGTGACCCTGCGGGCCCGCGCATCAACAAACGACGATCGACCCACCCTTCTCGATTACGTAGGAAGGAGAAGTAGGAAGAAGAGCGATGGACTCACGCTTACGCGACGAGTGTGAACGTGCGTCGAGAGATGTACGCAGAGTTCCGTTATATGCAGCCTGACGGGAGTTTTCAGATGATTCAGCCGTCATAGGGATTTAATAATATGTGTTAAAACAACGCCGGTTTTTAAAGCGTTACTGCAGCTACAAGATGAGAACCAAATTTGTCTGAAGGCTTGAGTCCAATGTGTACGAGAGAGAGATGTTAGAACGAGATAAAAGCCGGCTGGAATGCGAAGTTCATCACCGCGTTGCCTAGCAACGCTGACGCACGTTGCCGACATGTTACACCAGTTCCTTGAATTAAGATACATGTTGAAATTAGGCGTTAGTTTATTCTCTACGCCCAAATAATGGTTTTATTTTGAGCGTACACGTTTTTGGATTGTGAATTGTGTCGAATCTCTTTAGGATCGATTCCGGATCGGTCCATTTTAGGTCGAAATCAAAGATCAGGATCGCCACAAATTCTGCAACATTGCATCATTCGTTCGCTTGGCAACACTGCATCTCGTACATTCCATGGCAAGGTTTCCACCTCCAGGATCATAGATGGCGATTTTGGTCAGTAACCATCTAGCGCTCATTGGGGAGCGTCGTGCTGCTCAGAAATGTCTTTCGGCTGCGTACACGCAGGCAGTGATAATTTGTATTGCGTAATGGTATTTGTTACATTTTCCGACCGCTCGCTGTCGCAAAATATGACAATAACGCAGGATGTTGATTTTATCACCATCGGTGGAAATCAAAGACTATTCTAAAATGAATTAAACCAAGTCGCATCGAAATTGAAATAAATAATTCTAATCAAAATGGAAACAAACGATTAAATTAAATGTTCCAACAGTCCTCCTTCTTGGTTTTGACAGTAACCTAACCTATTGTAAAAGCCTGTGTGAAGCTTTTCGGGCGTAACATATTGACAATGCGGCAGATTGCACGACCTCCTGCGTCACCGTCGCTAGGCAATGTGGTGATGACCGTCGCTGTTCAGCCGGCTTCTATCTCTTTCTAACATGTGTTGATACATACACTTCTCGCGCTTCTCTGTCGTACACATTGAACTCAAGCCATCAGACAAATTTGGATTTCCCTGTATGTGTCGTGGACCAAATTTGAGGTAAAAATGCTGTAAATTAGGTAGACTCTGTATTTCAGACGCAATGCAACAAGTTTTAGCTTCTCTGACAAGGAAAATTAGCTAAAAAACAAATTATTCAAATCAATCAAAAAAGCCCATAGTTCATTGTCCTATCCATCCGACAACGTTGCGATCTAGAAATTTCTCCCCTGCTCTACCGACAGTACCAACCATCTGGAAGCTTTGGTAAAACTCGTCAGCCAGCGGCCAGCAGGGTTGCCATATTGGGGGATTTTTACGTCTTTCGGGTAATTTTTGAGGGATTTTGTTGGGGGAAAATAAAGTCGTTGGGTATTTTATTCACTCTCTAACTACGGAAAACTAACAACTGCAAAATAACAATTTTATCTTTCTGTAGCATTTTCTTTCCCCATGTCGCACCCAACTCCACAAAACATTCATCTATACTAAGTGACATATAAATCCGAACACCCAGTTTAAATGGTTTTATTTTAATAAAAGTGGGTGAATGTATTTATCTTACTGTAAATAACAAGTGAACAAATTTTCAGCCTTATCAGTTGGACATTCCGGTTTTTATACTGCTTTTTTTTAATTCACTAACGCTCTAAAAATGAATAATTCAGCCGCAGTAAAGAATCAACGTTGGCGGATTTTGGTTCTTGACATCCTTTACGATCGGTTACGATGCCTAGAGTACGGTGACCTGTAGGATTTCGTCAACTTAGTGAGTTTGATAGGGGCCGTATAGTGGGACTTCGGGAAGCTGGACTTTCTTTTCGGGCAATTGCAGTTAGAGTGCAAAGAAGTGTAGACACTGTGGTTAGGTGTTGTCAGGCATGGCTTCGAGAAGGCCGTACGCAAAGAGCAAGGGGCACTGGACGCCGCCGTAGAACAACAGACCGTGAAGATCGCCGCCTAAGATTATTGGCCTTAAGGGACCGTTTCTCCACTACCAGGTCCACTGCAAATGAATGGTTTGCAGAACACGGAAGACCTATTGGCATGCGAAGTGTTTACCGACGAATGAGAAGTTTTGGCTTGTTCTCATACCGGCCACACTGGGTCCTCCCTTTAACTCGAGAACACCGACGTAATCGCCTTGAGTGGTGCAGACAACGGTCACTCTGGGATCAGGAATGGAACAGTATTGTCTTTAGTGACGAGTCTCGATTTTGTTTAGGCATGCACGATGGTCGTGCCAGGGTTAGAAGGCGACGTGGTGAAAGGAGGAATCCACAGTTTTTTGTTGAAAGACATGTTCATCACACTGTTGGAGTTATGGTTTGCGGTGCTATGGCTTATGGTTCCAGGTCACCTTTAATCTTCATCAGAGGTAACATGAACGCGCAGCGTTATATCCACGAAGTTCTAGAACCCCATCTGTTACCCTATCTTGACACCCTGGCAGATCCAACTTTCCAACAAGATAATACCCGACCACATGTTGCAAGAGTCACAATAGACTTCTTTCAACATAATGATGTCACATTGTTACCATGGCCTCCAAGATCTCCCGACTTATCCCCAATTGAGCGCATGTGGGATATGATGGGTAGGAGATTGCTCAATTTGCAACGTCCTCCTCAGACTCTAGAAGCACTTCGAGAGGAGTTGGTGGTTGCCTGGAATGAGATACCACAGGAGGACATTGACACACATTATTAAAGGTCAAAGGGCTTTAAAGCAGTGCAATCATTTTGAAATTTTTATCATTTACTTATTATGCTTCATTAAGTACTTATACAAAATTTTATTAAAATAAAACCATTTAAACTGGGTGTTCGGATTTATATGTCACTTAGTATATATACGTCCCAGAATTTTCTCAAAGAGAAATTTACAAAAGAAAAAACTAAATTAACTTTCTTGGGGAGTAATCATTGGATGATTGTAATAAAATACGTTTAGTTTCCTACAAAATTTTATTAAAATATATTTCAACAAATTCATATACCTATATAATAAATAATAATTGAACTATACACACTCGCACTCCTTGAAGGAAATATGCATCGCTTCTGAAGTTTAAAAACGTTTTGGCATAATTTTTTGATTCTTACAAATACGAAAGGATAATTCATTATAATCGCAATGATGGATATCGTCGGATTTAAATGAAAAATAAAAAAAAATAGAAGATTGGTTTCTACCAAAACGTTTTTGAAACTTATGGACGAGCATATCTTAATGTCTTTTTTGTCCAGGAATGTCATATAACAAACGTTTTGTTAAAGCAACGTTATTAGCTTAGCTCTGCATCACTTAAATGTCTGCTATAACGAAAAAAAAAAATGTTTTACGCTGATTTAATAACGAAATTATCCACTTCAGAATGCCAATACATATCAAAGATTATATCAAAAAATATGATCAATGCTGACAGGGACAGCAAGTTCTTCATACCTCAAAATTTTAAGTCGATTTCTCATAAGCGTATATCAAAAATATTTTACATAAATAAAAAATCAGCACTAGCAGGCTAGCAACAATAAATACGAGGATCATTTTTGGCCACGCTTGACAAATGTATATTTATGGTGACTATCCTGAAAAGTGAAAAAATGTTCACATTTTTGTTATACAATTTACGTTCATACTCAATTAAAAAACGACTTTTACTTAAAAAATTACCCTCTCATAATTTAGATATCTTAATAACTCAACAAATATTTTTTCCATATTTCCCAAGACACAAATTTACTGGACAGACGTGCACTATCAGATAAAAGTGAGCAGAAGTATCCAAAGTACCATTATAAAAATTGCACTATACCTTACGCAATACTTTTTGTCATAAAAGTTATAAAATAAAATTGTCGGAGATACAAAAAAAAGTAGAAAAATGGATTTAGGTCTTACCTTTCCTGTTAAAAATTACGATATAAACTTGCTGCAAATCAATACGTTTATCATTAGTGTATATAAATATCTTCAAATATAATTGTTCAACATTATAAGACTACTATATGAAAAAGAAGAAGAGCGGCCTATTTTCATACTTGATAGATATATTTCCTATAAAATAGATGTAATATCACAAAAGTAGATTTCACTAGTAAAAATGTTAAGTAGATGCTTCGAAATTATTAACTGAAAAAGTTGGAATTGCAAAAACGTTTTATAAATGTTCTGTAGTCTCGTGTCATAAGGGTTCTGAAACAAATTCAAAAAACCTTTCCTGATAGAGAAGAAATACAAAGAGAACGGGGGAAAGATTCACAAATATAATTTCCAAAGGTAAATTATGCAGTTTATATAAAAACGTTTTTTTAATTTTTAAATTTAACTTATATTTTTAACGTGATCCACCTGAAGATAGTCAATCAAGTACCGTAAAGTGAGTATACTTTGCGCCTTCAGAGGATACTTTGCACCACAGATGTAAAAGTTATCAAATTTTTCCGATCCATCAAGATTACCACTGGTTACAGCTGTGCGGCAGTTAGTCCAGATTCGACCACGCGATTGCTTCAAAATAGCTGTTGAAATTTTGAGGTTAGGAAGGAGCAAAATATTACATCGGTAAAATTAGTCGGTCTGCAAGAAGTCGGAGGTACCAGAAAGATGAGCAAGTTTTTTTTGAGAGCGTGTATGGTGTATTTGGCGAATTTAGTAGTAAACCTTAGCCTGAAATAAATTAAAAACATTATATACTAAGTGACATATAAATCCGAACACCCAGTTTAAATGGTTTTATTTTAATAAAAGTTGGTGAATGTATTTATCTTACTGTAAATAACAAGTGAAAAAATTTTCAGCCTTATCAGTTGGACATTCCGGTTTTTATACTGTTTTTTTTAATTCACTAACGCTCTAAAAATGAATATTTCAGCCGCAGTAAAGAATCAACGTTGGCGGATTTTGGTTCTTGACATCCTTTACGATCGGTTACGATGCCTAGAGTACGGAGACCTGTACGATTTCGTCAACTTAGTGAGTTTGATAGGGGCCGTATAGTGGGACTTCGGGAAGCTGGACTTTCTTTTCGGGCAATTGCAGTTAGAGTGCAAAGAAGTGTAGACACTGTGGTTAGGTGTTGTCAGGCATGGCTTCGAGAAGGCCGTACGCAAAGAGCAAGGGGCACTGGACGCCGCCGTAGAACAACAGACCGTGAAGATCGCCGCCTAAGATTATTGACCTTAAGGGACCGTTTCTCCACTACCAGGTCCATTGCAAATGAATGGTTTGCAGAACACGGAAGACCTATTGGCATGCGAAGTGTTTACCGACGAATGAGAAGTTTTGGCTTGTTTTCATACCGGCCACACTGGGTCCTCCCTTTAACTCGAGAACACCGTCGTAATCGCCTTGAGTGGTGCAGACAACAGTCACTCTGGGATCAGGAATGGAACAGTATTGTCTTTAGTGACGAGTCTCGATTTTGTTTAGGCATGCACGATGGTCGTGCCAGGGTTAGAAGGCGACGTGGTGAAAGGAGGAAATCACAGTTTTTTGTTGAAAGACATGTTCATCACACTGTTGGAGTTATGGTTTGGGGTGCTATAGCTTATCGTTCCAGGTCACCTTTAATCTTCATTAGCGGTAACATGAACGCGCAGCGTTATATCCACGAAGTTCTAGAACCCCATCTTTTACCCTATCTTGACATCCTGGCAGATCCAACTTTCCAACAAGATAATGCCCGACCACATATTGCAAGAGTCACAATAGACTTCTTTCAACATAATGATGTCACATTGTTACCATGGCCACCAAGATCTCCCGACTTATCCCCAATTGAGCACGTGTGGGATATGATGGGTAGGAGATTGCTCAATTTGCAACGTCCTCCTCAGACTCTAGAAGCACTTCGAGAGGAGTTGATGGTTGCCTGGAATGAGATACCACAGGAGGACATTCACCACCTGATCAGAAGCATGCCTAGGCGCGTTGGAGAATGCGTAGCACATCAGGGTGCATCCACACATTATTAAAGGTCAAAGAGCTTTAAAGCAGTGCAATCATTTTGAATTTTTTATCATTTACTTATTATGCTTCATTAAGTACTTATACAAAATTTTATTAAAATAAAACCATTTAAACTGGGTGTTCGGATTTATATGTCACTTAGTATATAATGCGAGTAGTTTTTTTCTTGTATTTTTTGTTGAAAATGGGGATACATTGCGCCTGGCGCAAAGTATACCCAGAAGGATGTTATTAAAAAATACTGTTATTTTCTACTATTAAGAAATACTTACACCTTTTTTTTGCAGTACCTGTTTACTACAAAAATGGGAAGAGTGCACAAAAGGAAACTTGGATCTCGAAGATACTGTGATTATACACCTCAAACCTTGAAAATTTGTTTGAGTGTAGTAAGAAATGGAATGAGTCAAAGAAAAGCGGAGGAGACATTCAAGATACCCAGAAGAACAATATTGAATAAATTAAAGAAAAATCTAAATCTAGTATTTCTCTAATGATGGCAGGAAACGCAGCTCCATATAGCGACATAAAGTTTTTACTTGAAAGACATCCGCCAAGTAATGAAACAAATTTATCCGATTTGATTGAAAACTCGTTTATCAGAAAAAAGAAACGCCTCCAGGTAACACCAGGAAAAAGTATTGCAGACGAAGAATTGGAGGAACGTTCAACAAGTGCATCCTCAAAGAAACTGGAATCTAGTACCTTTAGTCCGGGAATCTCCAACGTCGGGAACTTAAAACAACTTCAGAAAGTACCAGGCGAATACGACGTATTTTCTTATGAAAATCAGCTCTATCCTGGAAAAATAACTGAGGTGAGTGATGATAAATGCGATGGAAAAATCTTTAAAATCATGGGGGTGGCCACAGAGAGAAGACCAACTGTTCTATTCCTGGAGCGATGTTATTGGAGGGATTAATTCGCCCAAACAGAAATCAAAACGTGGCTTGTTTTCTGTACCAGAGCTAGATAAGGCATGGTGGGAGTAAATTCACACTATCTTGCATACTTTTTTATAAATAATTACTTTTATAAGTTTTATGATGTATCACCTTTTAGCCACAAAATTTTGTATCGTTTTCAAAGAAATGTTTTTTAAGATTTAAATAAAATTAGTAAAGCTTTTCTGGGTGATTATCATGACAGGTGAAAATTTTGAGTACTCGTTAAAAATATCATTTTATAAAAAAAATCCAAGTGTTAATAATGGAGGTACATTTTTAAAGTTAAGGAATATTCATAACTAATAAGTGCATAGTCTTTAATATTTCTGTTTTTTTTATTTATAACCAAAAAACGTATGAAAACCTCACCTCCGTGACTGTTCTCTTTTACCATTGCCATCACAAGGCTACATAAAAACTATTACTAAGGAAGAAATCTATAGAAGTTTTATCTTGAATCTCCAGAATTTGATATGAACAAAACTTTTCTTTTGGAATATCATGTAATTTACTGTTTGCGCCTCAACCCCTGTTCTGGAAAGTAGGTATCACCTCCGTGACGTACTTTTTGATGCAGATTTCGGCTCACAGATGGCGAACTATTCAATTTCTGGCATTGTATCGCATTACAGCAAACCACGACCTATTTCGTTCAGTCGATACTAGGGATTGAAAGTGATCAGACGGATTCTCTCTTTAGTTTAAGACTTGTTAACCACGTGGAACCTTTGTTGTTCTCACATCCATGACTTTGTTTTTTTTTGGTAAGTAAATAAATTAAATAAGAAAAATGCGTAGTTTTAATATTTATAGGTGACATAATATTCCCACTAGAGCTGGTTTGAAATTTACTTGCGCAAGACATTTTCACAACAAGTTATTAAAGAAAAATATGGTAATTCCTCACTTCCGTGAGCCTCACCTCCTCACCAGTTCACGGAGGTGAACCAAGTTTCACGGAGGTGAGACATTCTAATGGTTTAGTGAATTGAAGTATAATATATGCACCGACATTTTCAGAACATGGCTCGTTTAAAAGTACAGAACAAAAATACAAAAGCTCATCACGAAGAAAATAAAAGAAGGCAGCGCCAAGCTATGAGAAGGCTACGTGAATCAAGGCGACAGGATCCAGAGAAGAATGAAGAAGACAAGCGAAAAGAACGGGAACGGTATTACCGGAGAAAAGAAGCAGGCCAAATTAAAACCATTGACCAAATGTCAGAAAGAGAAAAACGGAATCAAAGGAAAGAGTGGCGGAATAGAAGTAAAAAACACTATCTTGGAAAGAAAAATGCAAAGGAGCTCGAGCTTAAATTACAAGAAGACTCACCACCTACCACTCCAATCCCGGAAGAACTAGTGGCTGAAGCACCATATGATGAAATACTTCAAGAAAGAGATGATGGAAGAAAGAGGCAAGGCAGGTCACGAAGAAGAAAACACGTAAAGGCTCTAAGAAAAGAAATAGATTCGTTAAAAGTTAAACTGGAAAAAGAAAAAAGAAAGAAGGAAAAATATAGAATTAGACTAAAAAGAGTAAAAAAGCGACTGCACAAAAACATAGATTCGCCTGAAAAAAAAGTGGAAGCACTAATCAAGTGACAAACTGTTTCTCCTGCTGTTAGGAAAAAACTGTTATTTTCAGAAGTTATAGCGAAACAGTTAACAGAAAATTATCGGGTTCTTACAAATCCTGCACAGAAAAGAACATTTTGGAAAAATATTTCTGGAAATGTTGTAAAAAAAATACAAACAAATAAGCTATTTGAAAAGAACTGCGTATGTATTTACATCCTCAAAAGATAAATCTAAAACGAGATTAATAAATCAGGAATTCATCAGGCAACAAATAAAAAATTTCCTGGAAAAAGATGACTGCAGTAGGCTCTGCCCTGGCAAAAATGATTATGTTATAAGAAAACATGATAAGAAGCAGAAACGATTACTAAATGATACACTCAGAAATCTACATAGACGATTTATAAAAGAAAATAAGTTTCTAATTAGCTACACAACCTTCTGTCGATTACGCCCGTTCTGGATTATACAGCCAAAAATAGAAGAACGAAATACCTCCCTTTGTATAATCCACACGAATATGTGGTTGCTCGTTAGAAGGCTGAAAATCGCAAATATTATAAAAGAGAATTCTCCTGAAGAAGTATGTAGAGCCATTTGTTGCGAAGGGGAAGTACTAAAAGAGATATGTTTAGAAAGAAAATGCGAAAGTTGTAAGAAGAAAACTGTAGTTACAGCTGAATTTCATAGATCGGACACCATAGTTCATGAGAGATGGGTTACAAAGCGGGTTACAATAGTAGTGAAAGGAAAAGAAAAGTTGTGTACAAAAACTTTTAACACGTTCGCTACCAGCTGTCTCATATGTGAGCCGCAGCGATTCTTGTTACAGACCAGCGTCTCACATATGAGCCAGGTGGTCGATTGTACTCAATGAACGTATAAATCGTTTAGGCTACAGATAGCGGCTTGAAATTTTGATGCGGTCTATGGATAGGTCCGACGCAACAACATAATTTCCATTGATAAAAATTACAATCTCGCAAGTAATTTAAATGCGACATAAAATACTTACATTTGAAAATGTATTTAAATATACTCACTTTACGGCATTTCGATGTCCAATATCCGAGATGAAATCTCCTGTCCATAATAATTAGAAATCTGCTTTGAAAACGTTAGTGTATCATAATACTAATATATGCGCATATAACTGGCTGCAGCCAAATCTATAACATTTTCAAAGTAGATTATTAATTATTATCTATATTATATATATATATATATATCTCCGATAATTTTTTGAACGCCGAAATATGTGGCTATGTTTGGCTATCTTCATGTATCATCAATCAATGCATAGACACACAAGACTTTCCAAAAATCAGACTCATTGAGACATTTATGTTACGTATTGAAATTGGTCAAAATACTCATTTTAAATATAACTCATTTTGTTTGCTCTTACAGTACAAGGTCACCCTGTAAGTGGCCTTACATACAGTATATTACTTCTAACACTATACAACTCAAGCAGACGACAAAACGAGAATTCACTTCATCGTTGAAGAATGAATGTAAAAGCCTATCTCAGTTATATAAAAATTGCGTCAAGTGAGTCGACTCTGCATTTCCTACACAACGCTGTCATCGGTTCATAACGAATTGAGTTCGACGCAATTTAAATCGTCTGAGAAAAAAGTCGAGCATGTATAATAGGGAAATTAAACCGATTGAGTCAGTCAAACAGGGCCATACAATGTTCATAGACATTCTTTTCCTGACCTATCGGTAGTTACTGTCCATTTGGCAACGTTGTCCCTTTCCATTTGGCAACGTTGTCCCTTTCCATATCTGCACGGCAATGCTGCGGCGAGTTATCGTTCATTTCGTGCGCGGTTCAGACGTTCAAGAAACCTCGTACATGTATGTAAGTTTTTGTACGAGACAGATACAAATCTCATATACCTTTGTACGAGATTTAAAAAATGATGACTATGCTCTGTGTGTAAAAGTACAATAATGTATGTAAACATGACAATGACATGACATGACAATATACCGTCTGCATCCCTACCAATGCTTACTATTAGCTTTTACAGTTGGTCGGGTAGGTCGATAGTTGGTCTGTCAAATACAGGGTCCCAGAAATAACACGCAAGTGTGACATGGGAGGTAAACTGGCTTCAGATCAATCAGATAAAATCAACATAACCTTAGTAAAAGTTTTCTAGTTTTCGAGATATTACCTCTTTTGGATTTTCAAAAAATCACTACTTTTTGCTCCTTTTTTGCCTGCTATAGAACTTCTAATGATTTCAAAAACTAGCCCATTAATGCTCTTTTAAAAATAGTATAACATTTGTAGGTTCTTTCTACTAAAAAGTGAATAATTCCAAGTTTTGTCATTGAAGTCGTAATACTTGTAAAATATTACAAATAAAAAATAAGTGCAGCTGTCTTGTGTATCCAAATCACTAACTAATGAAATGACCTAAACATGTCATTGACTATCTCGCTCTCACATTCATTGTTCGGTCGGTAGCATTATGTCACCTCGAGGAACAGAGGCGTTAATTTAGTACTGCTCCTTGTGTTAGTACTACACATGTATTATTTAGCTCTTTCCCTGTTTAGGTCGTTTCATTCCTTAGTGATTTGGATTCAAAAGACTGCTGTACCTACTTATTTTTTATTTGCAGTATTTCGCAAGTATTACGACTTCAATGACAAAACTTTTATTATAGAATTATTCAATTTTTAGTAGCAAGAACCTACAAATGTTATATTATTTTTAAAAGAGCATTAAATAGGCTAGTTTTTAAGATCATTTTGCCGATTCAGTCTGGTACATTCTTTTCACAGTAATTAGTCAAACTTTAGTAAAGGTTTTCACATTGTAAACAAATTGTATTAATTTTTTTTAGCATACCGTGCTAGTTTTCAATGAAATTAACACTCGGTTGTCTCAACCGACTATTTACTGGTAGCCCAGGAAAAACTCATAAGTTAGAAGTTCTCAATAGCCATGACAGGCAAAAAAGGAGCAAAAAGTAGTGATTTATTGAAAAAATCTAAAAGTGGCAATATCTCGAAAACTAGAAAACTTTTACTAAGGTCATGTTGATTTTATCTGATTGATCTGAAGCCAATCTACCTATCGTGTCACTCTGGCGTGTTATTTCTGGGACTCAGGGTCTCTCAACGCGATACCAGCGCTTCTATTCTGTAATTAATAACAAATTTTTTATCAATACGAGTATTTATTTACTTCGTCTTGCTGCAAATATACACCATTATTTGAGTATATGTTGATCTTATTGAAACATATCAGTCATATGACCAACCAAACCAACTGAGAAAGCTTTAATTAGGTCATTACTACCATAACTTATTTTGCAAGAAAATATAGGTGGCAGACATACTACCCTAAAATTTTTGGTCTATTACACCCTCCTCTCATCTCCGCTCTTCAATTACAACCAATTTGTTCTGCGTCAAAAACAGCAAAAACAATGCCAAATTTGACATACCTGTCCCTTCGCTGAGCGGTGAGCTTAGACAGCGATTGAAAAACATTTCTCTATCAGTTCATAATCAAGTTTTAAAAGCAAATATATGGAGAAATGTATTTCATGTGAAATAATAAGCTAATAGGTGCATATAATTACCGAAGATTGGGAGCGTATCAATCTACTAAGATCAAAAATGTTTCATATACCCTCTTCATCGATTTTCAAAAACTAGCAAAGCTTTTTCGTCCTTGGCATAGTTGCAACCTTGTGTGAAAATTTTTATCAAAATCCGAGCGGTACATCTCAAGTTATAGATGGGTCGAGGATTAGCGGGCGGACGGACAGGCAGACACACCAAACGAAATGAGTGACATGGTTTTTAGATTTTCGAATGTTTACACGATAACAATAATTCCTCGCCCAGTGTCTAGGAAGTAATATATAATTTTATCGAAGTGGACGATACCCAAGATACCCGTTTGTATATTATTAGCGGTAACATACTGGATACCAAGCAATCTGAAACAAACTATGAAAGTTTCAATCCAGCTTCCATATGCAACAACTGTTTGCACATCTCGTATGTGGAAAATGATACAGCAACCATGGGAATAGCACGCATATAGTTGATGGACATCCCTCTGTAGAGACCTTTCACCAGCCCGTGATTACGGTAGATCTTGTAGAGAGTAGAAAACATCCCTTTGGCGTAATGGTGCGTGTGTGGCTGCATCATGGCCAACTGCATATGTCTACGGGTCACGTCTAAGGGGTAGCTCACACTTTGAGCGATCGCACCTAGCGGAAGATTTATAATATTAACGTCGCCTTTTTCAACAGCCTATCTGGAGGAGTATTCTTAATACTTTTCGTCTGATTGTTTCATGGTGTGTAACGGGTGGTCCATCTATCGTTTTTTTTTTTGAGTTACTGGTTTTTTGGGATATGTCAAGACTTATTTCGCATCTGATTTGACAGAACATCAGTCATATCATTCCGATTAACGAAAATGGTTGTGTATTCGCTTGAACAACGCTGGGAAATATTAAAACAATATTTCGAAAGTGGTGGTAATGTTGCAGATTCTGTCCGAAAATTACGTGCAAAAATGGGAAGAAATGAAGCACCGTCAGCACCGTATGTGCAAAAAGTTCGTGAAACTGGTCTTCTTATTGACAAACCAACAAGTGAAAGACCGAAAACGGTGCGTACACCCGAGAATATCGATGCTGTAGCTGAGAGTGTGGCAGAGTCTCCAAGCACATCAACGCGCCAACGTTCTCAACAACTGAACATTTCACGCACATCATTAGGTCGAATTTTGCATAAAGACCTTGGTATGAAGGCGTACAAAGTTCAATTGGTTCAGCAATTGAAGCCAACTGACCATCCAATGCGTTTTCGCTTCGCTTCATGGGCCTGCAATCAACTTGATGAAGATGTTGATTTTGGTCGAAAAATCATCTTTTCAGATGAAGCGCATTTTTATCTTGGCGGCTATGTTAATAAGCAAAACTGCCGCATTTGGGGTTCAGAGAACCCACACGCAATCGAAGAAAAGCCAATGCATCCAGAACGAGTGACTGTTTGGTGCGGATTTTGGGCTGGTGGCATCATTGGCCCATTTTTCTTTGAAAATGAAGCCGGAGCAGCAGTTACTGTGAATGGTGAGCGTTACCGTACCATGATAAATGAATTTTTCTTTCCACAAATTCAAGATATTGATGTCGGTAACATCTGGTTTCAACAAGACGGTGCTCCGTGTCACACAGCAAACGCTACGATTGCTCTTCTGCGAAGTGTTTTCGGTGATCGCATTATCAGCCGAAATTCTGATGTTGTTTGGCCGCCTCGGAGCTGTGATTTGACCCCATTAGATTATTATTTATGGGGTGCCATTAAAGACCAATGTTATGCCAACAAACCAGCAACAATTGGCGAAATAAAAGAGAACATACGCGCTGCCATTGCTGAAATACAGCCACATACGATTGAAAATGTGGTCAAAAATTGGACTGACCGTATGGGCTACTGCAAAGCCAGCCGCGGCAGTCATTTAAATGAAGTTGTATTCCATACTTAATCGGAAGGATTGTACTTTCAAATAAAAAAAAAAATTTGGAAAAATATTTAGTAGTTTTTTTTTATAGCATTTTTAAAAAAAAAAATTAAATGGACCACCCTTTATATGTTACGGCTAAAACGCGAAATGCGGTGAAAACTAGGTTTAACCGGTTAGAACTAGGTGTAGTCACTGGCAGTTGGTTAGTCTTAAAAATTCCCACAATGTCCACAAGAAAGGGAGAAATTCGACAATGGCTCTTATCATTAGTTTCAATGAAAATATGATCAAAGCGGAACTTATCCATCTAGTCCAGCAGCACAAAAATAAATACAGGGTGTCCGCAAAGTTGGGGTGTTCCTTTTCAGAAACCACCACCCTTGAAATAACAAAGGTAATGTGTAGTGAAACGAGGGCGACCAAGTAAAAAAAAATAAAGGAAAAAGTGCTCGATCTCCAGTTGACGAGAAGGGCTAAGTACGTCTCTGCCCGAAATCATACCGCTCCAACAGAAAATGAAATCAGCTGATGCCCTACCCAGCAGACGCCGGCGGTGGTGCAGACCACGAACAGAGGTAACAAATATGACCATCGTGCAGAAACCACATTGATTGTCTTACACTTAATGGCACATCTTCTAACAAGGAAGGCAAAATGTTGCGTAAAAAGTCTATATATTACATCCCGTCCAATCGATTTGGGATAATAAATGGTCCAATGAGCATACCGTTCACCATGCCAGCCCAAACATTCACCGAAAATGTTTGTTGAAAATGTGCCCGACGGGCAGCGTGCGGATTTTCTACTGACCAAACATGAATGTTGCGAAAGTTATTCACCCTATTACGTGTGAACGTAGATTCGTCTGTCACCAATATGCACTTCAAAAAGTCCGGATTATTGTCATGTTGATGCAACAACCACTCACAAAACCGCACTCTTGCTGGAAAATCGTCAGGTTGAAGGGCTTGCACACGTTGGACGTGAAACGGATACAGCCCCTCTTCACGCAGCGTTTGCCACACTTTAGTTTTTGATACTTGCACTTTTCTAGCCACGTCTCTAGTGCTTGTTGTTTTTTGAAACGCAATCGATTATACGGGTTCGTTTACCTCTACACGCGTGACCGTAACCGAAGGTTGCATACTGACCTGACACACTGACCCCGACCCAGTTCTGTCGTAGGGTTGAGCTAGTGTCCTAGTACCACTCGAGGATGTCGCGAGTCGCGGCTACAGGACGATATTCAGATATTTTTGATGTTCCAGAGTCCTTTATCTCGGTTCCCTTAAGACATTGGTGTATATGGTACTAAAAAAAATTGCTCATGTTTTCAAGATCTAAAGGTCATGTAAAGGAAAACCCCAACTTTACGGACACCCTGTATAATATTAATATTATTGACGAACTTGGTAAAGACCAAAATAAGACCGTTATCCCCTTATAACTGCGAATTAAATCCCATTGAAATTATTTAGTCAAATATAAAAAACTATGTGGCTTCAAACAATAAAACATTCAAATTTTCTGACGTGAAAAATTTGTTATATGAACAAAGTGATGGCAAACCATTGGAAAGATTGCATCTGCCACTTTCAAGAGACAATCGAAACAAAGATGTGGGATCTGGACAATATGATCGATATTCAAATTGAACCTGTAATAATTAATATTAACGATTCGCACGATCATTCAATTACTTCCAGCGAATAAAGAATTGTGAAAAGTATGTTCACATCTTTCTATGAAAATAATCATTTATGTTGTTATATTATTCCAAGAACATTGAGGAAAATACGGACCTGTACAATCTCGGTTTTGGGCATGTTGTGTTTTGCCTGGGCGTAAATGGACCACGAATGGTATATAGTATTAACCAGTTGCATTCAGTTAAAACTAGGTCCAGCCAACTTGATTCCGGCTACACCTAGGTCCAGCCAATCCTTAGTGGTTAAAACTAGATGTAAACGTTACAATCAGGTTTAGACGGGTATTTTTAAAGAAAATATAATGTCATCATTTTCATATTATTTATGTCAGCAACAAATTTATAACATCGTTTTTTAGTCATCTCTATACTTACCATGAAATAACGAAATGAAAATGATTTAGGATACTGCTCCAACCCCAAAAAGGGACATGAAACCTTAATAATAGGGTGTAAAGGTTTTCTGTCCCCGAAATTTTATACAAAGATATGTTACTGGATTTAATTCGAAATTATTAATAATTCCAATCCTGCCTGCCACGGAAATTAATTTTCGTAATAATTTTCGTATGAAATCATGAATCAAATTCAAGCGGATAACCAAATGGAAATGGTATTTACCATTTTGGATTGGTATTTACCGATCCGTTCAAGAGAGTGTGGTTATCAGTTTGGTTATAAGATCCGTGACGTCATGAATCAGCTGTTATATGTCATAGTTATCACCGCAAAATTGTGGTATTTACCCAACTCCGGAGTAGTTTTATATTTCTGGTTATTATTTGACATGTGACAAGTTAGAATTTTGCCGGGTATTGGATATTTTTATTGTACTTCAGCTTCATTTTTGGGAAACTTGATACAGGCTGACTTCAGTTTTAGCATAAGAGAGCACCTTATTATTTATAATCATCACTGTTGTTGGGGACACTTTAAATCTAGTTCCTAGACTTAAAAAAGTATCCTGTATAGCCATATACCACAAGAATATTAAAATATGGCCGTATAAACTCACTGGATGATGTCCACCTGTATACGGTTTTGTTAATATCTTTTTTTCATCGCTTCTGCTAAATCAATAAATATTTTCTTTGACATGCGGAAAAGTTTAGAGAATTGAAAGTTATCATAGCTACAAAGCCATGGTTCCATCAGTAACAATTTTTTCGGAAAAAAAACATTCCTCCTATTAATATTATGAAAGTTTTCTTTTTTTCAACTTTCCATACCCCGTTGTAGACGAAAAAGCACCGATTATTAATAAGTGATAATAAAAATAATCAGAAATTATATACGCGCTTTTCTAAAATAAACAACTTGCAACAAACCGCGGTTAAAACCAACGCGTTCAAGCGATTCGAGTAACTGACGTCACCATCCCGTGTGTCATCTTGAACCATATTATAACCGCGGTACATAATACGGAAATTTTGGTTATCCGCTTGGATTTGATTATGCTCATTTTGACAAAAGTCGTATATCTGTCAACTTCGAACTGTCACAATGTCAAACATCATCTATTCAAACCAAACTTTTCATTGCGGTTTCGGTTACATGTTGTCTTTTGAGTGTTGTCATTAGCTTAATGGTTTTCGTGGTTTCACCTATTACTGCTACTTCAGATTGCTTATCCCAAGTCCAAACCCGGTTTTCGCGTGATTGGCTTTCTAGCGGCAATTGTACAGAGAAACTGTGCAGTAGGCATCTGCCCACTTTTAGTATGACATTATCGTGATAGAAGAATAAGAAGAAACTAATGACGCGAGGATTTAATTTGACTACTGTCACCAACAAAAATAGTTCGCTAAAACTTGATAAATCTCGACCCATACGTCAAAAATGCAGAAAATCCTTCTGACCAAAACCATTGATTAACGTATATATCATATAGTGTATTTCGGCATCGAAAAAAGGATCTGAGGATCGTAACGCCATTTATAAGACAGTATCAGAACATAAAAATGACTCTGCACTTATCAGTACATAAAGGAATATGTTCAATACAAGCAATTAGTCCATATACATTTTTTTCCTGCCCTATCGGTAGTGCATCTGGAAACGTCGACTCTCCTCGATACCTAACTCGGGCAAACGTAGCACCGTGATACCGTAGTCAGAGCATAGAAAGCAATATGCTGTTCCGCGGCAGAAATAAGTGTGATTCCATACCAGAACACTCATCACGACGATAGGTACGCGATCCGTCTCCCGTTAATATTTTTCCAGTTTTCAGGTCTAATGTACAGAAAAATCTATGATGTGTGAAATATACTAAGTGACATATAAATCCGAACACCCAGTTTAAATGGTTTTATTTTAATAAAATTTGGTGAATGTATTTATCTTACTGTAAATAACAAGTGAAAAAATTTTCAGCCTTATCAGTTGGACATTCCGGTTTTTATACTGTTTTTTTTTAGTTCACTAACGCTCTAAAAATGAATATTTCAGCCGCCGTAAAGAATCAACGTTGGCGGATTTTGGTTCTTGACATCCTTTACGATCGGTTACGATGCCTAGAGTACGGAGATCTGTACGATTTCGTCAACTTAGTGAGTTTGATAGGGGCCGTATAGTGGGACTTCGGGAAGCTGGACTTTCTTTTCGGGCAATTGCAGTTAGAGTGCAAAGAAGTGTAGACACTGTGGTTAGGTGTTGTCAGGCATGGCTTCGAGAAGGCCGTACGCAAAGAGCAAGGGGCACTGGACGCTGCCGTAGAACAACAGACCGTGAAGATCGCCGCCTAAGATTATTGGCCTTAAGGGCACGTTTCTCCACTACCAGGTCCATTGCAAATGAATGGTTTGCAGAACACGGAAGACCTATTGGCATGCGAAGTGTTTACCGACGAATGAGAAGTTTTGGCTTGTTTTCATACCGGCCACACTGGGTCCTCCCTTTAACTCGAGAACACCGACGTAATCGCCTTGAGTGGTGCAGACAACGGTCACTCTGGGATCAGGAATGGAACAGTATTGTTTTTAGTGACGAGTCTCGATTTTGTTAGGCATGCACGATGGTCGTGCCAGGGTTAGAAGGCGACGTGGTGAAAGGAGGAATCCACAGTTTTTTGTTGAAAGACATGTTCATCACACTGTTGGAGTTATGGTTTGGGGTGCTATAGCTTATGGTTCCAGGTCACCTATAATCTTCATCAGAGGTAACATGAACGCGCAGCGTTATATCCACGAAGTTCTAGAACCCCATCTTTTACCCTGTCTTGACACCCTGGCAGATCCAACTTTCCAACAAGATAATGCCCGACCACATGTTGCAAGAGTCACAATAGACTTCTTTCAACATAATGATGTCACATTGTTACCATGGCCACCAAGATCTCCGGACTTATCCCCAATTGTGCACGTGTGGGATATGATGGGTAGGAGATTGCTCAATTTGCAACGTCCTCCTCAGACTCTAGAAGCACTTCGAGAGGAGTTGGTGGTTGCCTGGAATGAGATACCACAGGAGGACATTGACCACCTGATCAGAAGCATGCCTAGGCGCGTTGGAGAATGCGTAGCACATCAGGGTGCATCCACACATTATTAAAGGTCAAAGGGCTTTAAAGCAGTGCAATCATTTTGAAATTTTTATCATTTACTTATTATGCTTCATTAAGTACTTATACAAAATTTTATTAAAATAAAACCATTTAAACTGGGTGTTCGGATTTATATGTCACTTAGTATATGTCCAATAGGTGCGTAGAATTACCAATGTTGGAAGCGTATAATTGTACCAGCATCAAAAAATTGGTATCAACGACTTACAACCCCATCCCCAAATTTTCTTATCTCTAAATTATTTTCAAAGATGATCAGTATCCGCTAAAACGTTAAAATACGATGTTTGTGCGAATTTTCCTTTTTTAATTTTATACCTTTTTCTCTGCTGCCTCTCGATCGATTTTCAAAAACTATAAAGCTTTTGCGTCCTTGTCATAGTAGTGACGTTGTGTAAACATTTCATCGAAATCCGAGAGGTACTTCTCTAGTTATAGGCGGTTATAAGATTAGCGGACATACCGACGGAAATGAGTGACATGGTTTTTCGTGGTGTACATGTGATATGACATCCATAAAACCATAGTATCGCTAGTAGGCGTGGGAAGTGAAATGAGAAGAGTTAGTGTTTAGTTCTGCTATTGTCTCATAAATGGCGCTAGCATGGTTCACATCCGTTTTTGAATGCTGGAATACAGTATATCTGTTGGATCTTCAGGTAGAATACGTTAATCAATGCCAAAACTCAAAGACAATACTCTCTAAGAACGGAAATTCTATAACATTTCGAATATTCTTACCTGACATGCCGCCGCACAAAAGTTTGGCAGGCAAACTTAACACCAACGTTCCCCCGTCGTACTCATGACACGTTAAATCCGGTAAGTATTTTATGCAACCATATTTCAAGTACTCGAAGCAGTAGAAAGACAGTCCTGAGTAGGGTACCATACCCGCTAAGGTGGGTAGAAAACCTCTATACAAGGCTTTGGCACCACCTTCTTCTTTGAATATGGTCTGGGCAGCATGGAGGATGCCTGTGTATATGTGCTCTCCAGTCACCTTTAAAAATAGTACATTATATACCATGTTTGAGCGTGAGCGAGAACAATGATGGCCTCCTCAAACGACGCTAGAAAAGAAACCTACCTAGCCAAGGAACAAAATACAGCAGACGCTCGATAACGTAAACACGGGATAATGAAAACTTGCGCTATTGTAAACACAAACTTCGTTCTATAGGATCAAACGGAACGCGCGATAACGTAAACAATGTGTACGCTCGATAACGTAAACAACTCTCGGCGCACGGAAACAGCGCGACGGTAAAATGCTGAAGCCTCGATGATTTATGTCGGGCGTCGGGGGGAGTCCCCGATTTATGATGTAGAGTGTAGGGGATTCACCTCTGCGATAAAATACGACAAACTCGGCCAGTCGTATGATCGTTTAGGATACGTTTATACGTACGTATGTATTTCATTTATGAACTTAAGTGAATACATTGCACGCGTTAATATATTTTACGACTATGGCATCCACATCCTATAAAAGAAAGTGTTTAAAGTTGAGCGAGAAAGTGAAAATCATAGACGAAGTTGCACTAGGTGCGGGAGCGACACAGTTAGCAAAAAAATATGGAGTATCGAAAGCAACAATCTGTAAAATAAAGCGTATGAAAACTCAAATTTTACAAAGAACGTGCAATACATTTGGAGGTCCGGGAAAAAGAAAAACTTTAAAAAATGCGAAGGCACCTAAAATGGAAAATTCCCTGTATAAGTGGTTTTTACAACAACGGGAAAATCATGTCCCAGTTAGTGGCGAAGTACTTAAACAGAGAGCGAGACTGTTAAATGAAAAACTGAAAGAAACTGAATATCTCGTAGCTAGTGATGGCTGGCTACAACGATTCAAAACAAGATATGGAATTCGACTGCTTTCTATATCTGGTGAAAAATTATCAGCACAACCACAATTAGTGCAACCATTCAAAGAAAAATTGATGAAAACAATTACCGAGCTAGATTTAAGAATGGAACAAATTTACAACGCAGATGAAAGTGGCCTTTATTGGAAAATATTACCAGAGAAAACCTATGCTGCATCATTTGAAAAATCTGCCCCGGGAAGAAAGCCGGAGAAACAACGAATAACGTTTCTAGCCTGCACTAATGCTAATGGTTCACACAAAATAAAGCCACTGGTAATTGGGAAAGCAAACCATCCGCGCTCATTTAAAAATGTTAATATCCCTCTTGATTATGACTGTTCAAAAACCGCTTGGATGACTAGCAGTATATTCCTGAAATGGTTCCACAGGTGCTTTGTCCCTCAGGTATGACAATCAATTATCACAAATGCTCTATTCATAATTTGAAGATGTGTTTTCAATTTGTAGGTAAAAGGTTTCCTAAAACAACAGAAGCTTCCAATAAAAGCGTTGTTACTATTGGATAATGCACCAAGTCATCCTCCCGAGCAACAACTGAGGAGCAGGGATGGGTCAATTTTCGTCATGTACATGCCGCCCAACGTAACACCGTTAATTCAACCGATGGACCAGAATATAATAAGACTCACCAAACTATACTATAGGAAGTTTCTACTTTCGTCTGTCTTATCAAAGAATCCTGAAAACTTATCTGAGGCTTTAAAAAAAGCAACATTACGCGAAGCTGTTTTAGATTTACATATGGCCTGGAATGAACTTAACCAGCAAACTATTCAAAAATGTTGGAACAATCTCTTTTGTACCAATAATGAAGATGATGAAGAAGACGATGTCACCTTAAGCGTAATTAGAGAACGTTTGCAATCCAATAATGATAATGTTATTAGTGTGTCATTGGATGTTGTTGACTTATTGAAAACAGTGAATCCCAACATTGTTTGTACTCCTGCTGATATTAATTTATGGAACGAAGATAAACAGACGAATGATGCTGATAAGGAGGAGGATATGGACAGTGAGGATGATGAGAACGATCCCATTGAAGTCAGAAGTGTAGTGACTGACGCGCAAGCTATACATGTTTTTAACCAAGCTTTAGATTGGGCTGAAAGAAACGAAGTTTCATACACGGATATTTTAATTCTTCGTAAATTACGGGCGCAGGCATTGGAAGACAATGCTAAGCGCAAATTTACGCAGACAAAAATTGTTAATTATTTTTCTTCTAATTAAAAAAATACTTATCGCTGTTAGAATATTTGTTTATTTTGTTATAAATAGTATGTATTAAACGTTTCTTTTAATAAATCAAATATCATATAAATCACGTTCGCTAATATAAACATTTCGATAATGTGAACCACACTTGGATTAAATTAGTTTACATTATCGAGCGTCTGCTGTACATTCTTTTATGATTTTATTTTTGAACTTGCGCCGTTTCTCTTCTAGTGAATTTATACCCTTATGAAAAGGTTTCCTCTTGACTCTCAAAAAATTCGTCGGCGGCTGCTTTTAAGCCATAATCCTAGTCAAAACGGCGTCCTCGAAGATTTTTCTTTAATAACCTAGTCTTAACGAAGCTGCGGCATTCCTGCACAACTGATCTAATTTTGGCAGGCTTACGCACGGTCGCATTGTCATACAGCGAACACTTCTCGATTGGAAAAATCGGAACTTTTCTGGTTGATTGCCTTACGGAAAAATGTCAGCGTATCGCATAGACTTCCGCATTTATTGTTGTCCCTTTTGTCATATGTTCAATAAGAAGGATGCCCCTGATGTCCCAAAAAACTGTTGCTAATAATTTTCCAGCAGATGTTGCGACCGTGCCTTTTGAACCCACAGCTTGGATTCTGTTTTTGTCTCAGGACCTCAATGATGCACCTAAGTCTCGCCGCGTATCACGATTTGTGCCAGAATGAAGCGTGCCATTTTTGTTCAGATGTCAACATTGTCTTGGAACCCACCTGGCCCCTCACCGTACTCATGTTTAAATCGTCGCCGTCGTGCAAGATTATTATTACGCTGGCTTCAGATATATTCAATGTCATACTAATGGTAGAGACCTTCACAAAACGATCTTCGAGAACTTCATCTTTTTATGTAATTTTATCTTTTGTTGCTGTTTTGGGTCTTCATCTTTCATAGATCCACGCCCCCATTGAAACTATTTGGACCATAATTTTATTCTTTCAAGAAATGCGGCTTCAAAAATGTGATTACAGCGATACTCTAATTTTAAGTTATTCATTTTTCCTTACAGTTCGCTTGATATATTGGACGCTAATTATCAAAATTAACTCAAATTTTGTAAGATGAAAAGACATGCCATTATTTGACATACCCTATTTCAAGAGTATCCATCACGCTTTGACGTCTACTGAGGTGAACAGCTGATTAGCAAGTAACATTTTTGTGTTAGTCTGCGACGATGGCAATAATGAATCGGGTGTAAATCTAGTAAAACCTGTTTGTAGCGTTTTGTTTTTTGTATGCAAATGAACTTTTCTAAATAAAAGAGCTGTTAGCGATAAATGAATCTGTAGCGTAAATAAAACCAAAACAAAATACGGCTCTGACTACCTGAGGTTGAAAGATCCATCAGAATTGTGTGTCCTGTGTCGATATGGGAAATGTTGAGATATTATTAGATAATCAGCTTTTATTCTACTCGTGAAATAGGGTATACTACAATTTATTGTTTTTGTATCAATTGTTTTTTCATGGCTAGGTAGATTTCTTTTCTGGTATCTCTCGTATGTATAGAATATTTTTCATTGCTATCACTAATATTCGATTTTACTTCACTATCATGACATTTCCAACTCATTTTACAAATAAATACAACAACCAATTTGACAACAGTGTCATATTTGCGAGCTATAAGTTTTCTGAGATTTCTTGGCGAGAAAAATTTGTTAAAAGATGGAAGTTGACCCAGGAGGATCAACAGACGACGCAGTTCCACATACTATGAGGAAAGAGCTGCGCGGTGGCGGAAACTAAGCAGAAGCAGAAAACATGGGCCCACTGACGCAGAGGTCATCGGAGCAGAAAACGATCGAAAAACTGATGCTGATTATAGAGGACCAGGTGAGGCAGATTCGAGACCTAATAGAGACCATCAAGGACCAGACAGCCAAAATTAACAACCTGACTGCCCAGGTAACAATATTCGTAAATTCAAAAGAATCCCCTAAAGAACGGACAACCCTAAAAAGATCACTGAGAAACGTTACTGATGATTATCTCACATCCACAGACGAAGACGTACAGACCGAAGGATTCGTAAAAGCGAAATCAAGAAGGAGGAAACGCGACAAGGCTGATCGATCAACCCAAGACTTTCCTCCTCTTCTGAATACAGGATCAATTCCACTTCACACCTCCCCCAATTCATCAAATCGAAACACCATTAACGCCTCTACTACCAAGCTAGGGACCACCTGTCAGGTGACTCCGTCAGCCGATGTTACTTCTCCTCCGTTATCTCGTGGATTGCGCGGTTGCCGTCGATACAGGAATAAGGATTATTCCTAAATCCGAGGACGACTACTGTAAGATCGTTCGCCTGTTCCGAGAGGAAGAAGTGCCTCATCACCCTTTTCCTCTCCCTTCGCAACGGAACATCCATGCGGTGGTTCGAGGAGTTCCCGTTAATTTTTCGGATACTGAGATTAAGGGAGAACTTAAGCAGAGGGGATATAGCCCTCTCGATATCATTCGATTGAAGCGCAGCGTCGGCGCGCCCTTGCCTTTGGTGGTAGTGATACTGCCCAAGACTGAAAAGTCTCAGCAAGTGTTCAACGAACACGAACTGCTGGGACTGGCTATTCGAGTTGAGGTTCAGAAGAACTCCAGACTCAAGTGCGCGAACTGTGAAGAGGGACATCCCGCGAATAGCCGGACTTATAGCGCACAGGCGCAATCTAACATACGCGGACGCAGCTAGGAAGGCCTTGCCTGCCCCCTCTGCCCAACCTCCCTTGAGCACGCAAAATGTGGACCTGGCAACCGCGCTAAGCTCCTTACATTAAATAACAAGCCCACTGATTAGCGCTACCCAAGCGTTGCAGGCGATATTTCCTGTAAATGTCTAGGTACA